AAAAATTGTAGCCTATGTGTTATTCTGATGTATAAGCTATAGCCTATGTGTTATTCTGATGTATAAGTTATATTGTGGTAAAGTTTCATTCAAATCCTTCAGTAGTTTTTACGTGAAAGAGTAACAAACATCCATACATCCATACTTACAAACTTTCGCCTTTATAATAGTAGTAGGATGTTTAAAGTTGCAGGTAAAACGTAAAGTGTTTATATTGCACTGTGATGTACTTGACATTAAAAGATGGTGTGATGTTTCTTAATTTGAAAAAAGAAGTATTGTGTAACTTGGCTTGTCGACCATAAATTTTTTTTCGATCATATATTGTACTTTTTCTTTCGAATCACGATTTGTATTTTGTCTATCAACGGTGGTCGGTCAGCGCCAGTCATTTTTTTTAAACGTTGCCCCACACTAGGATTTTCTCCTGTGTCGTGGGTGCGTTTACAAACATTCAAGTTCACATACACATGACACGCACACCCGAAACAACAATTTGTGGATCGCACAATGTGTTGTTCCGTGCAGGAATCGAACCCGCGACACGTTGCACGGTAGCCGGTTGCCCAGCCACCGCACCAACCGTGCAGTCAAAATAATTTACCCTTAGCTTATCCTTTGGCTTCTTATCTCGTAAAAACTTATTTGAAACGTTTCCTCCCTGACAGTACGCGATGTTACTAGATGTAATAAACAACGTAGTACTCCACGTCGAACCGGAGCGGCGACGTACGTTGGAGCGGCGCGCACGTATGAGGTTTCAACTACAACTGCATCAGGACCAGGACCCCAGGCAACTTATACATAAACTGCAGACACAGGTATGTATAATAAAACTAGCGACCCGCCCCGGCTTTGCACAGGTGCAATTTATATGTATTATACATATTAAACCTTCCTTAACAATCAATCTATCTATTAAAGAAAACCGCATCAAAATCCGTTGCGTAGTTTTAAAAATCTAAGCATACATAGGGACAGACAAACGGCGAGCGACTTTCTTTTATAATATGTACATATAGTGATGAAAAACTGATTCCCAATTTTCGAATAAACAATAGCTAAACAGGCTATTGACTGTTCATGTTGGTGCGAAGAAGCTGAGATGTCACTTCTATGTAGTGTCTTACAGGCGTATGGTGGCATCTACCTAAATATATAATATATTGCATTTTTAGGAATTATACAAGCATAGCTTTGGGAAAATCAGAAAAAAGTCAGCTTTTTTGCATTTTACTATTCTTGAGAGTGCTTAACATAATTTTATACACAAAATACATAACCGTGCGAAAATAGTAAGGACATGACATCAAAATGTTCACTAAAATCATACAAAAATATAGTAAACATTCTCAAAAAGTAAAGAAATATTTAGAAAAAGTATTTTCTTAAAAATTAAAATACAAAAAGAATCTCTCCGGCGGGGAATCGAACCCCGGTCTCCCGCGTGACAGGCGGGGATACTGACCACTATACTACCGAAGATGTTGAGTGAGATGGCGAAATAACGGCTCGTATTGTGCGAAGAATATGACTAATCGGATGGAGTCATACATATTATAATACATAATATTATTATTAATACTGAAACATTAATTAAATAATGAATAAAGGTGTTTTGTACAGTGTACCATGTGTGACTCATATTTTTGTAAGAATTAATTTCGTTAATCGAATTCTTATCAAATAATTTCGTAGATTTTTGTTAGAAACAGGAAATTGAGTTCATATTATCGATTTATATGAAACGTTTTGTGTATCTTTGCTATTTTTATGCTGTTTTCTATTTGTAGGCGGTAAGCAAAATACTGTATTGTTGTATTACAGTACAATGTATGACACTATGTTTTTAGAACAGTTATGCGGCTCTTTTTTGTACAACAGCGCTTATATAACATGCTGTGTATTTCATAACATAACATAACATCACGACTTTTATCCCCGACGGGGTAGACAGAGGTGCACATTACGGCACTTAATACCACTGTAAGGCTAATAGGCTCTCCCTCTATTACATGGGACTCATAACATAAGTAACAAAAAGTGGGTGTTACATTGCGCAGTAGCATTAAGTTCCGTAATGTGCACCTCTGGCTACCCCTTCGGGGATAAAATGCGTGGTATTATGTATGTAGTTATATAGTCTCATGTAATAGGGTGAGTCTATTGCCATATACCGGGCACATTTCCACACTCCGTGCTAATACTGAGATTTAAATAGAAACTAGTAATACTTTGCCCGGGAATCTAACCCGAGACCCCTCGCCCGGCAGTAACACCTGCGACCGCACGGCCAGCGAGATAGTCAGCTGTGTATTTCAGATGTCATAAATATGTAGTTAATTTCACTAAATTAAGCTTGTAAGCAAACTAAGAGAGACCTTTATAAGAATACCTTTGTCGCTTTTAAATTCTATATTATTACTGATATAATATCATTAGAAATTACTTGTAATAGGTGAGGGAGTCCCTAGCAAGACTTCGAAGACTGGAGAAGGAATATTACCTCAAGAACAGGTCGATGACCGGGAACGATCCTGCTGCCATGGACGAACTGAAGAGTTTGGATGATCAGGTGAGCTTGTGTTGTGTTATCTATACTTGTTTCATATATGTATATTTATTTTTTTATTAAAAAGACACAACTGTTTTGGTAGTTTTCGTCACGAATATTATTAACTTTATTGCAATAGTGATTAAGGACTTTTTTTGCCAAATGACTGGTTTTTATCTAAATCAGGGACCGGACAACCCCACTTTAGAGTTAAGCCTTTGGACTGGGTAACCCGTACATGAGGTAACTCATATCGCAGTGTTACCTTTTGTTCGAGATACATCCCTAAAACCCAATGAAAGGGTTAACCTCTTCAAAGGCTTATGTCATTGAAGGGGTTAACCCCTTCAAACCTCTTCAAA